GGGCTGTCCACCATTTTGAATGCGGTTCCTAGGAAACTGGGTCGAGAGGTAGTCACGGCCAATCAGAACTAAGAAATCGCGTTCAAAGAAATCTTTGCTCTTTATTGCAAAATCTGGATTTTGATTTTGAAATTCGGAATTTAGATTTTGCGGTAAAACAAGAAATCCAAAAACGAGATACGACGCTGAGAAAACATGGATTTCTATGTCTCACAACTTTCGGGAAATCTAAAGAGGGATTTGCATCTGACTACGGCTGTTCTAGGTGGGGTCTCTATGGGTTCACCGATAGCTGTAAAACGGAAAAGATATCAGCTTTCATGTATTGCCTCTGGAATCTTTTAAAATTGAAATCTACCTTAAGGAAGGATTTTCAACATCGAAATCCGTTGGAGCTTTGTATGTTTTACTAAACAAATCCCAAATCTGGAATTTCAAATCTAAAAATCTGGATTTCCTGATCGAAAGCACCACGCCGACTCCCCCTTTAGAGCCTTTAGGGCTTTAGAGCCGTTTTCCCGATATTCCACAAGTATTCGCAGTTATTTTAAACTCTTGAATAGAACTAGGATTATTTTAATAAAGTCATTAACTGAAGGCAGAAAACAAAACGCCTTTGGCTTTTCGAATATCTTATCAAGGTTACCTACGGCTGCAAGTTTCTGTAAAATCGGTTCCCTTATGTCTCCACCCTCTGGGACACTTTCTCACAGACAATAACACTTGAAATAGTCAAGAGAAAATAATTGTGATTATTTCCTTTCCAAATATTTTAATCATGCCCATGATTCAATGTAATCAACACCTAAAAGTGATGTGAGCAAATAAGCTGGGCTAGTTATATTAAAAAGAACCGATCCAGTTACTACAGACTTACCTCTATATTCACAAATTGTTTATAATAACAATAATAACTTTTATTTCTATAGCGCTCTTAGCCTATGTTCAAGGCGCTTTATAACACTGTGCGGGGTACTTTGTCAGACTGCCAGTGGCAGTTTATAATCAACAAAGGCAATTTTTTTTTTTTTTTTCAGCAGTTGCCCCCTCCCAATTTCCAGTAAACAGGCCAGACCACATCACAGTGAACTCGTGATGTGGGTTCTTTAACGTCCCCTACCTAATCAAATTATCTAATTAATAAATGCAGGAGACGGGACCTACGGTTTATTCGTCCAGCGCTCTAACCAATTGAGCTAACCGGGAGGCGGTTTGATGACAACTG